AGAAGACAACGCTTTCTGAATTGACTCCAAGAGCAAGAAAGATGGGGGAAATGGTTTTAGGCATGCTTCTGGTTCATTATAGGTTGTTTATAGGCTAGCTGGCCTGGTTGCCTGAGCTAAGAGATCACAAATACCTCATCAGTCATTGTGGTTGTGATCCCACAGCCTCTGAAAGATAGGGCGAAGCACCCCACTCTTAAGAACTGTGCCCCAAGGAGTCCCAGAAAAGGCAAGGTGGCCAGCTCAGCTCCCCGCTTCCTGTATAATTTGAACCCTGTTTCACAGGTGTCAGATGAAGATAAAAGATACTGAGACTCCAATCTGCTGGGAAGCCATATGCTACGAGGACTCAGTGTTCAGGGAAAGATACTTTGCACACGTTTTGGAACTGCTTCACCACAATCCAGGAATCAATCCTGGCATTAAAAACGGATTCCAGGGCCAGGCCCTGGTTCAAAATAAAGGTTTGTTTCAGGCTGCCCTGTGAATTCACCGCAGGGGTGCGATTCGAACTGGGCATTCCTAGATGCATCATTCAATGCCTCCAGGCACAAGTCCTGTGCAAGTTTAGACAAAGGTCCTCAGAGGAACAAGGTCTGGAACACCACAAAGGAGAGAGCTGTCAGAGGGGATGCGGGTGATTTGAAGCAGAGCCATAGCAGGATTGGTTCTCTACTCTAAATCCCCCCTCCCAGATCTGCTCTTCTTTTACTTTCTATTTATCTTTTTAAGTGCCACTGGGGCTCTGTTAGACACAGTTTGTGTGCAAGCTGAGGTTAGCCAGAGTGATTATAAATCAAGGGGTACAAAGGCTTGGCCTAAAGAGTGTGAGCTTGGCCTAAAGGCAAACACAGAATCAACTGTTTCCCCCACTCAAGGGGGGGGGGGGCAAATTGGGGGGGGGGGGGGGAATGATTCCAGGGCTTCAGGCCACGTATATTATTATTCTTATTCTCCAGGAATTATGAGAATGTATGTTTTGTATATGCAAAAGCCCGAGCTTCAGTACAAGTTATCTGCAAGCAGAATGGAGCAGGCTGTTACCTTGAAGCCTGATGTGCAGACTATTGGCCTGAATCTATAAAGGCCCCTTCCCCTTGCTGTGTATCTACACCCACATGTTGCGCTATGGACTTCCATTCATCCAGCAGCTCCCTCCACACCAATCTGAAATGGTGGCTTTGCCACTCAGATTCAACCGAGGCAGGGAAGGGGTTTCCCAAATACCATATTCAGAGGATGTGGATCTTTCAACAAGTGTGTATCCGTGGATCCCTTGCATTCGTTGAGGACAGGCAACTGAATGTGTGAATGGACTCCAGCGAAAAGTGCTGTATGTCGAATGAAGCTCAGGTTCCACACCTGGGTGTTTCATCTGGTAGAGCTAATTCCGGCCTTGTGGCCACGAATAGTGTGCTCATCAAGGGGTGAACAATATACATGTGTGAGCAGGCCGATTGGGAGCCCCCGCTTTTCTGGGGAGTCAGCGCCCTCCTTTTCTCCCAGTGCTCTGAGTGCCACCTTGCAAAAGCAAATACCATGTAACTTCAGACTTTTCAAGCCATCCTCTCCTTTTGAGCCGCATCCCCAAATGAAGGACTTTGTTTTACTAGGCATCTCTGTTAGAAAGTCTCAGCCAGCCCAACGAGCCAGAAACCCTAACCCATCGGAGTGATGTGTGTGCATCAACAGAACCCACCAAATAAATACGTAACAGCGGTTGTAGTCATTTCAGAATAATTCTCGCCCATAAAAAGTAGTCTGACATCTTAATCCTGTGAGAAAGGTCTACCGGCATTTGTTGTTGTGATGTGCCATCAGGTCATCTCTGACTTTCGGAGACACTACGAATGAATGTCCGCTCAGCTCCTGTAAACGTCCGTTATGGATCGATCCATCTCATAGCTGGTCTTCCTTTTCTTCTTCTGTCTTCTACTTTCTCTGGCATGACTGTCTTCTCCAGGGAGCCTTGCCTTCCCATGATGTTCCAGAAGCATAAGAGCTTCAGTTTTGTCATTCTTGCTTCCAGATAAAGTTCTGGCCTGAACTGATTTAGGACTCACCTGGTCATATTTCTGCCTTCCCAGGGTATTTGCAAAGTTCTCCAGAATCATGCGTCAAACACATCCATTTTCTTCCTGCCGGCTTTGTTCACTGTCACTCTTTCAGATTTGTACACAATTATCAGGACTGCAATCATGTGGATGGTATTGACCTTGGTCTCCAGTGACACGTTTTCATACCTGATTCTCTTTTCTTGCTCATTCATTGCTTGCAAGTCTTAGTCATCTTCTGATTTCCTAGCTGTATACCCCCTTGACTGAGCCAAGGTTTACAAAATCTTTCCGTTTCAATGGCTTCATTGTTGATCTTGAATCTCTGTAATTCTTCTGTACTTTCAAGTAAATATGCATAGAATCATACCCCTGGCTGCAACACTCAGCAAGCTTACGTCCAAGTATGCTCCAACTGAGGGGTTTATTTCTGAGTAAATCTGGTTCAGATAATCAGACTTCAAACAGGTTTACCCAGAAACAAATTCCAGTCATTTAAATGGGACTTACTTTGTAGAAAATGTTCTTCAGAGCACAGCCCTTCAGTGCAATTCTAACCATGTTTATTCAAGAATATGAATTCAGTGGAACCTAATTTATATCAGGTGCGCTTCCCTGGTTCCCAGTCCACTGCTAATCACAATTGAAGTTCTAACTTCACTCTCTAAAGACCAGAAAATTTGGAATCTAGGTATAGGAAAGTGTATTTTTGTTTTCTCACATAAACCAGCCCAACTGTTAAAGGTTATTCTCCGAGATCTTTGTGGACCTGGATCAACAGACAGAGGAATAAGTGAGTCCTAGGCCCAATCAAGTCAGAACTTGCCCTGGGAGCAAAACGGATGAAACCATGGTGCTTCAGACACGGTGTGAAAAGGCAAAACTCCTTGGAGAAAGCACTCGTGGTAGGGAAAATCGAAGGCAGAAGGGGAAAGCCAAACGTGAGGATTGGTTCAAGGAAGGAAGACATAATCTTGCATTTAAGAGCTGAGCAGGGCTTTGAAGGATACGGCATTTTGGATTGCACTCCTTCATAGGGTTGCCAGAAGTCAGAAGCAACTTGACGACACGCAACAACAATCGCTATCAGAGGTCATGTGGATGGTGACCAAAGAGAGCACCTTCACTCCCATGGTACACTTTTCAATTCCAATACGTGCTTGTTGCTGAGAGCAAATTTTAACAACAGTTGAAAACTGCTATTTTCTCGCCATTATTTTCCTGCTATTTTAATGTTTGATTTTCACTGGGGTTTTAGTATATTAATGGTGGGATGCTGTCGGTTTGTTCTATTCTACTTATTTATTGTAAGTCATCCCGAGATGTTTTGTAGGGGATGGGATAGAAAAGCTTTGAATAAATAAATAAATACAGAAAACTTATTCTTCACTCAGGCTTTTTAGCTTTGTTCCTTCTCACTGCTTGTAATGCCGGAATGTTCTCTCCTGTTGCCCTCTCTTCTATTGTCTATTTTATTATGTAATTGGGATTTGTTTGTTTAATGCCAGCTGCTTTGGGAGGCTCGAAGGCTAAAAAGCAAAATTGCAGACTTCTTAAATAATTGGGGTTGCCATTCCTGTGCTCACTTACCTGGGGCTACGGCCTGTTGAACTCCATAGGACTTAACATTGTGCAGAAATGCTCAGGGCTGAGCTGCAAATGAAGAAATCAGCACCGGGGTGGCAAGACGCTGAGCCCACTGCCCGATAGATACGGCTGATAGCCAACGGTCACAGCATGAAATAGGATTATTATGATTTTCTAATATACCTTTAACGAAGCAACGACCACTCTTTGCTTTTAAAAATCAGGGTCATTACAGAGCAAATTAATTCAGCACGCAGCAGGTGAAGAACTGCCTAGTAGCAATTTTCCTTGGTATGAAAATAGGAGTGTTGTGAGTGTCCCTATTTTAATCTGTGAAATGTTGATGGACAGTATACAGTACACAAAATCCAAGACAGTTTGACATACTAACGCCTACTGGCCTTGGGCCATTATCTTTTCTCAAGGACTGTTGCAAACACCCGTGCCAAGTTCCATACCGCACATATACAACATGGGTGTTTAGCACACGCCTGCTGTTTGGATTTGTAATCTGTTTACTCTGACATAGTTAATGGAAACATGCCAGGCATGTGTGGTTTGGGGACTAGTTTGCCTTTAAGGAGATTGTTTGATAAAACTTATTAAAGCGTACACGTGGCATGGAACCCCCCCCCCCCAATGCACCACGCAATTTGCCTTTGACTGCTTAGGAACACAAGGTATAAGAATGGTCACTTGAGGTTGCCCTTCACACAACCACCCACCCATTTCTGTGTAAACAAAGATACTGGAAGTCTTCAACAGGAGAGCCTCAGAGCTAAAGCCACGCTGAACCAGGAAATAAACTGCACGGCCATGGATAACGAATATTCCCGCGGTGCCTGCAGGACGGTTCATTCACACATGCAGGAAAGTCGGGCAGCCGAGTTGGGAGATGCGCGCGCGGCCCCCGAAGAGGCTCGCACCGCGCGCATGTCCCGCCGGCCTCGCTTTCCTCTGGCGCAGACCCGCAGGCGACGTAGCTGCGTGGTATCCTCGGCACGACAACCCTGCGGTGCTGGGCGGAGCGCGCGCGCCTTGCCCCAAATCGCCCCGGGCGCCGGACCGGCACTCGAGCGCGCGACTGCGGTGCGAGGCGGCGGCTCGGGATCCGGGCCGGGCGCGCCATCCGGGGAGGGACGGAGCCCCCCAGCGCGCGCTGCAGCCGGAGGGGAGGGCGAGGGCAGAAGGCGGGAAGGAAGGGGGGGAGGAGGAGGAGGGGGGGAGGAGGAGGAGGAGACCGGGGCGGAGCGGGCCGCCGCGGCTGCAGCCGGCGCCGCCGCCGCCTCTTTCTCCTCTCCCGGCGGTTCCCGCGCGGGCGGGAGACCACGAAGGAGCGAGCCGCGCGGCTCCGGAGCAATGGCCGCGCTTCCCGGCGGGAGCGGCGGCGGGAGCGGCGGGTCGTGGCCGCGCTCCCCGCCGGGCGCGACCCTCGCCTCGGCACTGGGCTGGGAGCCGCTGTCCGGGCTGCAGATCCGATCGCGCTCGGTGGAGCAGACGCTGGTGCCGCTCGTGGCGCAGGTACCGGCACCGCCGACCCGCGTCCTCCGCGCGCCGCGCGCCGGGGCCAGACGCGCTCCGGAGCGGCTCCGGAGCGGCGCCCGAGGCGGCTGCGCCCCGCGCGGGTCCCCGGAGCAGGGCGCGCGCCAAGCCGCCCGGGCTGACCTCCCCCGCGCGCGCTTTCCGCGCAGGGCGCCGCCGCGGGTGGGAACATCCCTTCGGCCGCGCTCGCCCGCTCGCCTCCACGAAGCCCTCGCTGGAAGCGCCCCAGGCGGCCCTCCACGCGCCCCCCCCCCCGCAGGGACCGGGCCGGCCACGCTCGCACGGACGCCCCGCTTCGGTCGCGCTCGGCTTTTGTGCTCCCCTCGGGCCCAGCCCTCGTGCATGACTTTGTTCGGCTGCGGTCCTCCTCGCCAGCGTAATCCTTGAAAGAGTTTCGGCTAACTTCCGGAGGATTAGCGGCGGCGCTCCGCGTCGCCCTTGCGCCGCCCGCGAAGTTTTTGCACGGCTGGAGCGTGTTCATCTTGCATGCGTGTTCCCTTCGCCGAGGACGAGGCGCCGCACGTATTCCGTGGGCTGCGGCTTCAGAGGCGAAGGGCTGCACAAATAGTCCGGGGAAACTTCAGGGGGTGTCGCTCCGCTGTCGTTTTCCAAGCAGCGACTCCTAAAGTCGCCCCATGGACTTAGAGCTTACTCCAGAGTAAGGAAGCGTCTGCTTTACCTTCCTTTGGGAAGCAGTTTTCGAGAAAGTTACGGGCTATCCGATACATGCCCTTCAGAAGTAAGAGCCGTGGAGTATAGGATTGCACCACTAATCTTGCAAACACTTCCCCAACCTCACCCCCTAAATACCTCTACTTGGAGCCTTTGAAACCCGTAAAACATCCCGGTTCAGTGCGATTAAGGCAGGCAGGCAGGCAGGCAGGCATGCAAGCGGCGGCGGGCTTTAGCATGCGCTTGTGCAGCCCCCGCTGAGCGACTGGGGAAGCCGAGGAGCGAGGGCTCGTTGGTTGCGGGGGTCTTGTCCTCCCTTCCCGCCAGGTCGCTCGTGCTCGCTCGTGTTGGCGCAGCTAGGTGCACCTCGGTCTGCGGCTGCAGAGATCTCTTTTCAGACCAGTGCACTTCAACAGGAGAGTTGAGAATTGCGGCATTAATGTGATCGAAATGTTAGGTCCGTGGGCGTGCAGTGAATTTCAAATATCTCCGCTGGTAGCCAGAAAGAGTGGGGAAATGCGAGCAAAACGCAGCGAAAAGCATTTTTGGGTTTTAAGAGCTGGGAGGAGAAAACAGGATATCTGAGATATTTGGGGAATGTATTGTTTTGAAAAAGCTGCCCAAAAGAGTAGGCATGCGAGATTCCGCTGAGAGTGCCGTAACTCATAAATGACACGGATTTTGGCCAGCATTAACCGTGCATTTATGGCATCCATGTTATTCATTGTGATTAAACCACTTTGGGATTTTATTGTACGTGCTTTGTTGTGAGCTAACTTCCACAGTCAGGCTTACTTGCCTGCTTTGTAAATTGGATAGTGTTCAAGTCCAGCCTCTGTATTGTTCCAAATGATATTTAAAATGCGTAGACTGAACAGGTTCTCGTTTTACGTATCTCCTTCTCCTGTCCATATAAATACAGATTACTGATAGCCCCAAAGAACCATCAGCTTGTTTTTACATGGTTCCTTGATCTTCTGATTGCAAGCCTTACTTGCCACAAGTAACTCCCTAATTTGCATTGGGTGATAGGAATATCAGACAAATTATATAATGTAGGGCAGTCCATAGCATAGTTTACTCTGAAGTAAGGCTTGCTGAGTTCAACAGGACATGTGAACCATGGTGTGGGTCCTCCCTCCCTCTCTGTGAAGCATCTTCAATATCAGACAAAATGTTTTTAGACATTGCCCCAAGAAAGGTAGGTAACCAGGAAATACTAGGAAAGGCACTATCAAAAGCAACATTTGAAATTGAATCCATGTACTCTAATTTGCTTCTGAATATGAGGTATTAAAAATGTCACTTCAGGTTGCGATTTATACAACAGTCTGTTTCTGAGTAAAGAAAGTTATTGGTCAGTTAAGCTTTTCTCTCCTAGTAATGCAAGTAAATTTAAATAAGCTTGAGATTAAATAAATCCATCAGAAGTATTTTATTTATTTATTTATTTATTAAAACAGTTTTATGTATATGTATAAAGTATATGGATACACTGTCAACCATTCACAGTAGTCCTGGCCTAATCATTTACTGTGCATTGGATCAAATAAAACAAGCTTCATATTAGAAGCTTGAGAATCCTTGTTCATGTCCATGGATAGTTAATGTGGACTGTGGTGCTTGCTGGCAATTTAAGTTTGGGCTCAGCTGAAATGGTCTCTTCTCTGACATTGCCATTGTGTTGTCATCATGAAGCCAAGTCAGAGCGAGGGCAGTTCTTTGTGGTGACCTTCTCATTGGGCATTGCAATAACATGTCATCTCACTCTCTTCTTGCCCAGATTCTTGTGTGATGAAAAGTGGGGAGGGTGAAGAAATGGTACCCAGAAGTAGTGGGTAACTCATTGGATGCCAGGTCTAAGCCATTGATGCCAGTTGGTGATGGCAGTTAAAAAAAAGGTGTTAAGCAGATGTTGTAGAGTTTCATGAAAACTATTGCTGTCCCTCAAACCTTGCCTTTTGAGCTGGAAAAGTTAACTGATGAATTCTTTGCTCTGGCCCTAGTTAGAAGTGAGGTAAATTCTAGGTCCATGGATTGGTCTACTCAAAAGGAAAGAAGACCTAAAATGTGTTAAAAATCTGTGTGATAAGTGTAGTGGAATATGGTTAGTTTAGCAGTGGTTCTATATTGAATCTGGGAGTAAGTTCCATTGAGCTCCATAGGGCGTCCTTTGAAAGAAAAACTAGTAGGGTCAGGTTGCTGTTTCTCTTTCTACTGGAACTTTAAACTGTGGCGACTTAGTATTGGTACGAGAGCCTTTTGTATAAAAATGTTAACAGTCGAATTTCCTATTAAGTTAATGTCCTTCAACTTAAATTGGCTGCATCGTGTTTACGCCTCTAGGTATGGCTTGTTTCAGTGCATATAGGATATCCAAGCCGGGAGAGGCTTGTTGAAACCTCCTTATGGAAGCAGAATGGCCCCAACAGAGTTGGTGACTTAGTCAAGAATCGGGAAGAGAGACAAAGCAGCAATCCAGAAACAACACCCTAGGGTTGTTTCACTAAATACCTGTTGGTTATATGGACAGTGGAACTTTTCATAATAAGTGATGTATTACGATGTTGGCTATGAAGGTATTTCATATTGGCCACATAAATATAGGCACGTCATAAGCCACATACATATAAGTGTGTAAGTACTATTCAGACATAGTATATTTGGAGCTAAGGAGAGTTGGATGGCTCATTCCTCCTGTGTCTGTTACGGGGTTTCCTCTTTGCTTGTTAGAGTCCAGAGAGGGAATCCCTGGATAAGTTGCACACCTTTCTAATGTAGGGTAGCGTTGCGTCTGCAGTAATAACATTAGCTGCAGTGAGATGTGTATTTCCTGGAGCATGGAATACACCTGTGTATACCACCTGAGATTAGCTAGGATGATCTCTCCTGCCTGGAAATGGATCCACAGGGTCTCATGCAGGGACCTTTCATCCTGTCACCCCAGACCAGTGGGGATTCTGGGGATGTACCACCCATCCTGATATTCAGCTGCCTCTTGCTAAACTAGCTGAGGGGGGCTCAGGGTTGGTGCTGGAGTCTCCACCGCTCGTGTCGGGGAACTTCAGTGGACATGCTGAGGCCAACTTGTCCGAAGGGCTTGAGAATTTCTTGTCCCTGTGGCCACCATGGGGAGTCTTTTCCAATTAGTATGTGGCCTCAGTAATTCAGGGCATATTTTAGATCTTTTTTTGGGGTGGTGGTCTGTGTGTAGCCCGGGAAGATGGTGAACTGGGGGCAGAAGAACTTCCACTGGTTCACTTGTAATGGACAGATCACTACCTGGTGGAGTTTAGAGTTGCTGGAACTTGGAGCTTCTGCAGGGGTGGTGGGGGGCATTTGGATGATTAGCTCCGGGAGACTGATGGATCTGGATGGCTTTCACATGCTGTTGGGGCTTTTCTGTCTGCTTGGAAGGCTGTTCTGTCAAAGCCCTGGTTGGAGAAATGGCTCAGGTGGCTTCCACCATTATTCCAGAGTGACCTTATGGAGTACAGTGAGGTGGGCACCATAGTTTCCCAAGGCTCTGCAGATGATGAATCAAATGAGATAGCAACAAGGGAGCGTTGGCAAAATAATTGAAATGAGCCTGATCAAAGATAGGTAGAGCTTAGTTGAAAGCCTACTCCATGGCAGTGAGGATGCAGAAGAAATCGTGCATATCCACCACCGTTGCACCTGCTCTAAATCTTTATTGGGTGGTTACGATAAGAAGAGCTGGACCCCTTGATAGCTTGCTTGATCGGTTTGTATGCCACAATGCAGAATATTCGTGCCGACTTGGGTGCCATGTTTGATAAAGTTCTGATTGATGCAACTCCTGCTGATCCAGTTATCTTGGATACTTTTCAACTTGTACAGTTTTGTATGGATCCTTGGAGAGGTGAGTTCTAACACTTGTGTGTTGGACCATAGCTCTTCTGGCTTATAAAATGGCCAGGTACAGGGAGACGGACTGAGTGGGTAAGGATAGTGATGAATGCCTCTATGGCGAACTGATTCCTTCTCATCTAAAGGAGGAAGCGGTAAGACCCCACCCCGAAGGCCTCTGTTTTGGATAGTTTCTGGCCAGTCGCCAGGATTCCATTCCAGATGCTGGAGCTTGTGGTAGCTTCTCGTCACAAGGGATTTTCTAGATTGGTTATCTAGAAGCATTTCTGTATGGCTTCAGACCTGGTTACAAAATAGAAATTGCTTTGGTTGCCTTGATAGACAGGTGGAGTGTGTCCCTGTTGGTTTTGCTAGACCTTTCAGCAGCTTTCTATACCATTGACCACGGTATCCTTAGGTGCCTATTAGCTGTGGTC